AGCAAAATAAAGCTAAATAAAACAAACTATTTTGCTATAAATTATGTACACTATATCACGTAAAGAGACTTCAAATAATTTAAATTCTGTACAATTACTCTCATCAGGTGCAGAGGATTTGGTAACACTGCCGTATTGTTTCATCTTCTAATATATTATATCGAATTATATAATTTTTTATTTGCTCAATATATCACTGGCTTTAAGCCGGGGCAGTGACATAATATAGTGCTCTAAACGTTCATTTAGAATAATCTATGATAGCTGTGTGAATAATTTACATAGCCTTAATCTAAAGGGCATTTATACGGCAGTTTCGTGCCGGTTTGCACTCGATCAGTCTCTATGAGGATATAAGTGCGTACTACGCCGTTCGAGCGTAGATATAACTCGTTTATACCTATTCAAAAAAATTCAATTTATCTCGAATAAATAAACATTCAAACACTCTGTTATAACCAAAAATTGACGAATTATCAAAACATTCGCAATATTAAATTTAAAGAATGTCATGACATATAATATATAAATTCTGGTATTATGACATTATAGAAGAAGATACGAAGTAAGAACGTCCTTCACTCATCTGCTTAGCAGATAACTACAACATAAAAAATGTATAAATGTGTGTGAATGTAATACAGACATATAATGTTAATTAAATAAACATTTTTTTTAATTTTTATAGTAATTTACCAACTTGCTTAGCAAATAAATATGATTTTAATTAAAAGTATAAAGTGTGGAGAGAATACAGAGGATGCTCGCGAAAAATAAGTAATAAACTAGAACGGATGCCAGACATTGAAATGTGTAGCAAGCGAAAAGTCACAAAAGATGTATAGCACGTACAATTTAGAACTACATACATAAGTAATAAATATGGACTCAGCATAGCGACACATTTATATGTTTAAAACAAAACATTTTGTATCCAGTAACCAGAAGGGCAACTTACTTCAGATCTTAGACTATTATTATAAAACTACATATTAAGTTTCTTTTCAAGTAAATTTATCCATCGACCGTGGTTCAATAGTACATTGGAATGCACAGTAGTCGGCCTAGCGCCGCACGGCAGACTTCGGCAAGCTCACGGCTTTATGTAACTCAACACACGTCTGAAACAAACATTATATACTTAATTATTATATACTTTATTCCATTTTATATTCTGCGTTCATTATTATATTAATCAAATTAATTAATAAATTATGTACATATATTATACTATCGAGTCACCCTTGCTTCGTTCGGGTTTGCCTCTAGAAAAACAAAAGCAAATCTATCCCTTGGGAATCGTATATTTTTCCGGGATAAAAAGTAGCCATGTGTTATTCCAGACTATAATCGATCTCTGTGCCAAATTTCATCCAGATCCGTTCAGCAGTTCTGGCGTGAAAGAGTAACAAACATCCATACATACTCACACACTTTCATATTTATAATAGACCGATAATATCTTAAATAATAATGATTTTAATTAAGGTTTATTTCTCAGTGGTTATAGATGAAAAATTTCACCTCTAATAACCTTAATTGTACCATTTTTATTAACAAATGATTATTATTGCATATTAATTATTAAAAATGTTTAAGGTAAATCACGTGTTATCTATTTATTGCGCAGGTTATTATGTTATCTGCAATATGTATTTGTATCATATTAATCAACATTTATTTTACACTTCAAATGAATACACCTTAAAAGTTATTTTTATAATCTCTTTGTAATATATTTTAAGGTTGTTTTAATACATTTAACAATTCTATATATATTTTCTGAAATAACCTTATACATAAAGAAAATATAACATGCAGAAATAAAACAATGTATAAAAAATAATAACCATCGCACAGCTAAAACAACAACATTGTATACAATCATTTTGAAATTAATTATGCCCGATATTAATTAATAATAAATTACAGAATCGATAAGAATCCTAGCTATCAGTCGACTTTACCCTCAGTAAATCAACTGAATATCGCATAGCTCGATTGATACTATTACATAACACAACATATTCGCCATAATTAGGTCAAAGTTAAAAATAATTATTTAGTAAAATAAAATATTTTTAATAAAATAAATATTGTATTTATTAATTCGCAAGAAAATATTGGTAAAGGAATAACAAATACTTATATAGAGGTATTGATAAATTAATGTGTAATATTTTTTGCCCACGGAGCCGTTTTATCCTTTGGTAAGCGGGAAGGGAAAAAAACGTGCCTAATGCCTGTCCTCATAATGCAATCAATGTTCTTGCCTGTATTGTCATCGAAATCAGTTCAGCGGTTCCAGCGTTAAAATTTAACAAACATACACACAGTTAAATTCATTCAATTATACAATATTTTTAAGTATGGACGTAAAGATTACATTTGTATAAAATATTAAAAATTCCATCTTCACCCATGTAACGACCCACTGCTCAACACGGGTTTACCTTAATGTGACACGTATTAACAATATCCATCCCGCTCGCCAAATACAAGTCGACAGAGTTATCATATTTTTTGAAACCTCATTTTAAATAATTTTTAATTTTACGTCCCTTATACATGTAAGTTCTCGCACAATGTCTTCCTTCACAATATTAGCAAGTCAATTATGTACAAGCGAGACATGCTCATGAAAACCTCACAAGTTTGAGTCTGGTCTTATAACCTTCAATATTTCTAAAAACGAGCCTCGTCCTAATGGACACTGCATATTTTCGACTTGTAATCAAATAATTCCATGCATAATCTTTATGATAATAATTTATTAAACTTTTAGGTTTAAAAAAACAATTATGCACTGTGCGGTTTCCTTGGTCCTTGGCTCAGTAGTTAGTTTAGTGTAATGTTGGAATTCTCATAATCTTAACTAATATTATAAAGAGGTAAAGTTTGTGAGATTGTGAGTTTGTAACGTTGTAGGTGGTAATCTATGGATCTACTAAACCGATTTAGATGAAATTTGGGAAGAAAATAGTTTGAGACCCTGGGAAGGACATAGGATACTTTTTATGCCGGATATCACCCCTTAAGAGGTTGAAAATGGGGATGAAAGTTTGTATTGGGAAACAAGCTAGGGACGAACCCAAACGAAGCGAAGATGAGTCGCTGTACTTCATATTTATTTATTTATAACTACATCTTTATATTTAAAATTCTTATAATTTATCATAACTTCGCATAGACTTTTTAAAACAATAAATTAGTTACACTTGTCATGACATTGTTGATAACTTTGAATATACTAGTACTTGACGTCACACGTACAATAAGTGGCGAGTTATTAGTCAGGACTTTCAAATCAAACGTAGTAAGCTAAAATAAAATTTCATTTAATTTTTTAAAGATAATATAATATCCATAAAATTGTTAAATACCCACATTTAAAAATAAAAACACCACCAAATAAACCCACAAATAAAAAGATTACCATCGCAATGCAATTTTTGTTGTACTCCGAATTTAAGTAACAAAATAACAAATGTATATTAATTAAAAGCTATCTTATAATACTCGTACTTCGCCAATTAATAAATTCCTTGTTGTTAAGCAAAAAAATCTTCTTAACCACTCCTTTCTTATATAACTTTAATATATCTTCTTAAACACTTCTTTTTATATGAAGGATTTATCTTCTTGTTTAACTTCTGGCAGACTTCAATACACTTTCAAAAAAATACTTACAAATATATCATTTGTACAGTTACTTTATTTTCAAGTTTTAAAATCTAAATGTTACTATGAAATTTAGTTTAATGTAAGGCCTAATTTTTATTATATATAGTTATTTCCGTTCCATATTTTGAAGAAGTTCACTGTATTTTTAAAAACAAGAAAATTTCGCAAATATTTATAGTGATAAATTTTATCGTGCGCGATTATAATTTGTCGAATAGGAAATGATGACGAGATAATTTTCAGAAACAGACAATATGGCTATATTTTATTGGCTTATTTTGTTTTTGGTTGTTATTAAGCCATACTATTATTATAAATGTGAAAGTTTGTGAGGATGGATAGATGTTTGTTACTCAATCATGCCAGAACAGCTGAACGGATCTAGATGAAATTTGGCACAGAGATAGATTATAGTCTGGAATAGCACATAGGTTTTCTTATCCAGGAAAAATGTACGGTTACCGTGGGATAGATTTGTTTTTGTTTTTTACTAGAGACGAACCTAAAGCGAGCGTGAGTCGCTAGTAATAACATATGGGAAGCATGAAAAGCGATTAAACTTTGCAACGCAGTCATGAACGTTTTAAATGCAGGTGCTTTAAAAATAACAGAGTTTGGTTACTAATATATATTTTATTCTTCCATGGATGAAAATAGTTTAGGTTTCCCCCAAATCGTTTCATCAAGTCCAGACATTAGTGCTTACTAACACTTAAGTGTTCAAAAATATTTTTAATTTTAAATAAAACTATATTCGGATTATTTCGCAGATTTATTTTGATTTTTGGTTCCCGGCGTTTTGAATGCTTTACAGCAATCATAGACGAAAGCAATTCGAAACGTTGGGAACCATAAATCAAAATAAATTCCACGCAAAAATCCGAAAAGATAGTTTTATTAAAAATGCCCAATATTACAGTAAATCTAAGAAAGTATTATATATTTTTTAATTGTTATATGGGCTTTATCATGCAAAAAAGCCATGTAAAGCCAAAATGAGGTATATATTTATAAACTACATGTAATTTCAATCCTAAAATATGAATTTGTGAATACACTATACCTATACTAATATTATAAAGAGATAAAGTTTGTGAGCTTGTGACATTGTAGGGGGTAATCTCCTGGATCTACTGAAGCGATTTAGATGAAATTTGGTAAGAAGATAGTTTGAGACCTTGGGAAGGACATAGGATACTTTTTATCCCGGAAATCATCATCAGAATTATCAATTGTATTGAGAAGCAAAAAGAAAGCAATTCTTAAGCATACAGTTTTAAAAGAAACCAATAAGATTTAAAAGTATAACATACCTATTTATCCTTTAAGGGTGGCGTGTCTGGTTTAGCGGGTTGAGGTATGATAGTAATTTCATCGTTTATTTTGAGTGGTTTGAGTAAAGATTGGCCAGCCTTCACAGGTGGAGGAGTCTTTCCTTTATCCATCACACGTTTAGCGACTACACTGTGTGCGGAATACACATGGTTTTCGAACTGCTTGTACATGCCAAAAGTAGCTGTGCATACTGTGCATTTGTATGAAAGATGAGCCGGCTTCAATGTTAGGTTGTGGTCTCTTGCTACGTGGTTGAGTAACTTCCATTGATATACCTATAAAGTAATATAATATTGTAGAATAAATACTTAAAGTTAAACTTTCTTGTATATTAATATATGTGAACATTATATTGTATAACAATATTGTACCTTCTAAAAATTTTAAAAGCTTGGAAAGCCAATATCAATCAAAATGTACATTTCCAGGATATAAGAAATCATACATGTATGTTGCATTTATTATGTAAGATAAAATATGGACAAGATTTTCCCTCTACAACAGATTTTCCCAGACTTATTAGAGTACAATACAGTATATAGTATAATTATAAATAACTATGTGAAAACGTATATGAACATTTTTAAGAACTTACTCTGCCACAGACTGGACAACGGCCAGCGTCTTTGCCTTTATTTGCAGCCTCCTGCATAGAACTAGTGACTAAGCCATGTGAACCTAATAAATGCCTTTCTAAGCCTTGATCTGTGAAGAACCTGGAATAAGAATTAATTTGCATTAGTTAGAATTCAGATAGAAATTCTCTAATGAAAATGATGCAGTGGTAGCCCAGTGGTAACACTCTCATTTGGAAAACCGAGTGATGCAGGTGACTCGGGTCTGATATTTTCATGTATGAATCATTTCTAACATGATACTTGAAAACAGATACATGAAAACGTGCCTTACGGTGAAGGAAATCATCGTGAGGAAACCTGCATGTCTGAGAAATCCTAGCAAAGTTTCCCTCGTATTGAAGGGAAGCCCATGCCCAGCAGTGGCACGTTAAAAAAGGGCTGGATATAATAATTATTTTTCCACTTAACCTGAACCATTGTTTTTGGGATTCAATACAAAACAAAATAGGAAAATCCTTATTTCCTTATTCCAGTTCAATTATGTTTCTGTCTGTTTGTCTGCCTCTCTGTCATACCCTATATTTTCTAAATCTTCTGAATAGAACTTACAACATTTTTTATTATAATTACAAAAATGTAACGAATATTAATTATAAAAGTAAAACCTATGAAATGTAATTTTACCTAAACTGGCACTTTTGACAATTGAGCGGAGGCCTGTTGTAAATCATCTTGGGGTGTATTTTGACTTTATGTATCCATTGCATATGATTCCTTAGTTGTTCAAGGTCCTTAATGTATCCGTCACAAATCTCACAGATGACACAAGTATTTTTGTTCCCCTGAGGAGTAGGAGGAGGCTGTACGGGCATAGGTTGCGGTTGTCTCGGTAATGGTGTGATAGAAATAGATGGTTGGTGGGCAGATTTGGGCACCGCTGAGTTTTTCCCATTATTCTGTTGAAAAAATAATCACTTAAATAAAATTGATAAATAATACATTAAAAACAAATACAGATCTCAAAATTGTGTTCCCCAGCACTAACAGCTCTCAAATATCCATCACGCTATGTTAGACATCGCACATTTTGACTTATAAGATATTACTAGATATTATTATACTTGATATTATTTAGCTGTTGCCAAATTTAAAAATTATTAAATAAGCATTAAAAAAAATTTAAAAACGAACTCATATTGAAATCAAGTGCCATCCATTTAAGCAATGAAAAAAGATATCTCTACTTACACCAGGAAAGTTAGAAGACATTAAACCCGGAGATGTGCTATGTCTGACAGTAACTCCTGTTCTTAGAACAGGGATAGCCTGCATAGGAGCAGTTCTAGGTATGAAGGGCATACGAGCTCGTGGGCGAAAACCAGTGCTTGACATGGCATTGTTCATAGGTGGCCTGCCAAGGTTGTTGCCCATCTGGCCTCGATGGAAAGCATTGTGATATGAACTCATCATGGGGTTGCGTGCTCGGGCAATCTGAAACATTTCATCTATTTAAATGAAAAAGTAATGTTTGTTGTGTAAAACCGAAATTCTTCTAAAAGCTCTTCACTTATTACTTTGTAAATGTAAGGACATATGAAATTATGTTTGTTATGCTTTCAAGGAAAAACTACTGAACAGAATTTGATGAAACTTTTCAGTAATATATACATTATATATAACTTATATATCATAGGATTACATAGATAACAGAGGATGGTTGCAATGCCATCTATTTTCCAGTAAGTCTCCTTACTAGATAGCGCTACGATGCATTGAGGTGTCTGCCCACTGTCTGACACATACAATGACCGTGCTATGAACGTATCAGGCACGGAAACGAGCATGGCACAGACTACTATGCCCACTAGACCGTATCGACAGCGTATTATACCCGAACATAACGGTTTTAGTGTTTTAAATTATATCTTATTTAATTCATATTTGCGAACAATTTCAATTAGTTTTTCATCCTGCATTTTAACTTCGAAAGCGTAAGTGCGTCTTGTTGAACTGATGGTAAAAAATTGGCAAGACATGCGACAACACGTTTATAACGGGTTTAGAACGGTCATCATACGCGGTTATAACCCGTATGCTCACGGTTTCGCCGAATACGCACACCGGTTTTGCAACGTCACGTGCCAGTCACGGAGCGTACCGACACCGGCAAAATATTCTCGTCCACAATTTTTACCGCTCCGTTCACGGCACACGACGGCGCCGGTCGGCGACGGAACGGTCTAATGGGTAGAGTCTCATACTTCCCAATACATTTTTTTTTGCGTGACACGGTCCAATAACACGGTCATGGTATGAGACGGTGTAGTGGGCACACACCTTTAACACCATCCAACTTATCGCCATGAGTATTTGTACACAATGGTATTTGAGTAACAGCAGAAGCTATACTGTGTTCGCCGAATGAACCAAACACTGAGATTTTGCTCTTCCACGTGATTGGTTGCAGATAAGACGCTTAGGCCGGGATCACAACGCAAGTCATATTTAGTTACAACTAACTGTTGATTAATTGAGAACAACATACATGTTGATTTTATTTTATTACCAATTATTAATGATTCCTCACTAAAGCATTAGCAACATGAACGAGCCTTATGATTTCAAACCAGTTGCAAGAGTTGAAGAGTTAGTGGGGGAGCTAAACATTTTTCCGTCCTTATCAGTTTGTATGCTAATGTGGGACAGAGAAACCGCTTAGCATGGTTCACTCCGTGAACAGAGTATAGTATCAAAATATTTCTTACTACCAATTCACCCTCGCTTCACTCAGGTTTGCCTCTAAAAAAACAAAAACAAATCTATCCGATAACGAAACATTTTTCGAGAACGATACATTTTTCCGAAATAAAAAGTAGCCTGTGTGCTATTCCAGGCTATAAGCGATCTCTGCTGTACTGGTGTGATTAACAAACATCCGAATATCTAAACTTTCACATTTATAATATTAGTAAAATGTCAAATGTTGCACACTAAACATTGCAGGGAAATAACATAAAGTTCCTACATTACATTAAAAGCATAAAAGATTGTTATATATTACCTTCGGTATTTTCGCTGGGGGTTCCCATTCAATGGGGGGCGCTAAGTTAAGTTCTGGTTTGAATTTCTTGGCACAAGGAATGAGATGACGAGCCAGCTTGCCTTTCCCATTGTCCTCAAAAGGGCAGTTTGCGCATTGGTGACATGCTGGCGCCCTCTCTAACTTTCCTCGAGTATTATGTTCGGCTTCCATATGATACAATATATCGTGAGGACTCCGACTCTCATACACACAGAAATTACACTTATAAACACTATTCTTCATATGTGGCGTTTCCAAGTGATGGGCCAACACTAACAGAGATTCAGACTTGAATGTACAAAACTCACACTTTTGCTGTTTAAATTTATAAGGTGCATTATTTTCCTTACTAAACTCTAAATTCTTCATCAACGAAGCAATAGATGATTCAGTAATGTTTGTACTATGTCCACCTTTCTTTTCTCTATAAAGTTTCCTATTTTGTTGCTTCAACAGATCATTTTGTACAAACTCTTGAACAAGATTTAGGCCGATATTCATAAAAAATTTTCCAAGAGACAAATCAAAATAATTATCAGATTTACCAGTAACTACTTTCTCTACAGTTAAATCGGTAACATCTTTAATATCATCAATAACATCAGCTTTTTCTTTAATAACTATAGTTTTGTCTTCTTCATCACTTCCTATATCATCATCACTTTCTGACGAAGATTCACCATCCCATGATACATCATCATCGTCATTTCTTTGTCTACGTCGTTCTGAAAAAAAAAAAGATATTGTAAAGCTCCTATTTAAAGATACTCAAAAAATTGTAAGTTTAATATAATTATAATTTTACCTTTCCGTTCTTCCCTCTTTTTTTGTTTAGTCTCTTCTAATTCTTCTTCTTTAACCTTTTTTTGTGTTTCGTTTTCTTCTTCAGCTTCTTCAATCTCGTCTCCCTTCTCTTTTTTTTCCTTCTTTTCTTCTTCTAGCTTCTCTTGCTCTTTTTTATCATTTTCCTTTTGTTCTTCTTCCTCTTTGGCTCTTTGCTCTTTCAATTCATTACCTAAACTATCTACAAATTCTCTAAATGGTTTTATAGAAGGCTTTTCATATACATATGGTACAATAAAAGAAGGTGCTTCTACAACATACATATCATCTGTTAAGGAAGGTAGCAAGATAGAGGGAGTGACATTATTAGAATTTTGAGTGGTAGGTTTACTGCTAACTGGGGTCACAGTTGTTCCACGTGCAACAATACTCTGATATAAGCTTTGTGCACACAGAGCAGAATTATTCGAGGGTGTTGAAGGTTTCCTAATAGAATTTCCTTTGCTTGAAGACATGGAATTAGTATCTATTATCACTACTGTGGGTTCTTTCTTCTGAATGCCTGATTTCATTTGTTTCGCAGCCATCTCAACTAAAGTTTTAGTATTATTTATGACTATTGCTTTTGATTTACGTCTAAATGATTCTCCAACAAAGTTTTCATCCAAATCAGAGATATCATCACCATTTTCTATTTCGTCATCATATCTTTTTCTTTTAATAGCTCTACTACTTCTGCGTAATTGTACTGGAGTTTCTTTAATAGGCTTTTTTTGTTGTTGTTGTTCTTCTATAACACAATCTTCATTATCACTAACAATTTCATGAACTTCAGGACTAGCGCAATCTTTAGAGTTACCATTTTGATTATCAACTCTATCATTTTGAAGTAAAGTTTCATCTTTGTTATTCATTTTATTTGAACTTTCTTGAGAAGATTCATCTTGGCCATCCATCTCTGATTCCGAGTTGACACTGACTGTTTCTTCTGCTCTTGGTTCACCTGATAACTCAGAAAATTCACCATTTTCAGAATCGCCTTCGGATTCACCTTCATCAGATATCTGAAGAAAAAAAACGATTTTTTTTACTGTTGATAAAAAAAAATTTACATATTATCCTTTAAGTAATTTGTATTACAAGCCTTATTAAAAAACTTCAATCTCTGTATTAAGTATTTTCAGGCGAACCAATATCATTATGTCATTCAATTTATAAATATCTATCAGTATATCCTTACTAATATTATAAATGTGAAATTATGTGAAAATGGAGGGATGTTTGTTACTCTTTTACACCAGAACTGCTGAACAGATCTGGATGAAATTTAGCACAGAGATATATTATAGTCTGGAATAGCACATAGGTTACTTTTTATCTCAGAAAAATTTATAGTTCCCATGGGATAATTTGTTTATGTTTCACTAGGGATGAACCCGAGCAAAGCGAAGGTGAGTAGCCAGTATGCTATATAAGTTTTACTTGATCTACATAATCTTACTCCATTTTTTAATTATTATTAACCTGCTACTTCTAGGTTGATCTAATATAGTCAACTGCTACCTAAATTTAATATATTTTATTGATTAATATAATAATAGTAAATATTTTTAAATATTATCCTCAGTTTTTTTATAAGTTGTAAACTTACTATTTAAAACGATTATATTTCTTTTGTAACCCTATGCTATACTTTGTGACTAATAATATTACATTATTTTTTAACAACTAATCCTATTGTACCATCAAAGACAATTTTTATCTCAGATATTATTATCTATATTCTATCAACTTAAAATATGTAAATGAGATTGATATATATTATATACACTTATAGACATATTTACATGGTTCACATCAATTTTATATTACTGTCATGGAAAATATTACAATAAACAAAATACAATTTATTGGCACAGAAAGAGTGGAATAAAAAATAAAACATACCCCATTATTAGAAGGGATTGTGTTATCTCCATTTTCTTCAAGTAAGTCACTTCTACATTTTTCCTGGAGATTCATTTGATTCTTTTGATATTCATTAGGTTCTAATTTAGGGTGACTATCTGCAATTTCTTTATAAGATCCATTACTGTCAGCACAATGATTTTCTAAGCTTTTATTGTCACTGTTACTTTCAAGTGAAGATTGCTGAGTTTCCAGAGATGTATCATTAAATGTACTATTTTTTTCTTCATTTGATTTATTTGGTTCATGGTCTTCAACGCTACTAGTATTTAAATTTTTAGCTAAAGTAATATTTGTGTCTTCTAATGATCCCATAGCACTGTACTCATGATGATTTGATTCTGTATCAATAATCTCATTTTGTTTTGTATTTATGACTGTGTTTTCCGAAGTAACTATTTTACTGTCATCAGAGTTCTCCGGAGAATCAGTATGAGACAATTCCTTAGATTCCTCCATCATACCATTCACTCCTCCATTCATATTGATAGCAAGCTACATTCCATGTGATAAGCACCTGTCAAAATACAATCATACATTAAGGTTATGTTTTCAATATTATGATGTTCATGAAGTAATACCAAAAGTCTGAGCGTCACATTTTTTTATAGTGAAGACCGCCCCCTCCCGCCGTCCCTCTCCCCTGGCAAGGCGCTAGCAATCAAAATGGCGGTTCCATGGTACAACTATGTAAAGCTACGTGTACACGTCTTTTCATGACTTCAAAGGTCACATCATCACAATTGAACACCACAAAAAGAAACATCGCAAAACTAACTATAATTATATTTACATTTGTCATATAAACAAAACAATGCAAATTTTAACAAAAACAACTACCGCTTCTAATTTAGTGAAATTGTTTAACCTATTTATTCCTTAGACATAAAATTGCTTAATTACTTTATATTTTTTCCTTACAAATTGATATCAAGTAGAACACTTAAGTTCTTTAAGATTTTTACACTTTAATAAAAGTAAACAATCAATGCCGGTACCGAGATTCTAATTGCAATTGAATTTTCAACAATAAAAACAAATTTTTGACGCAAATTATATTTAAAATAAAAGATTTACTACCTCATCCAGTCTGCGGCGTTCTGTACCTGACACTTTTCTGGTACTCGGTCGACGTTCACTAGCAACTTGGTTATTTCAATGGTATAAACCCAGGTCAATTTTGTTAATACACACGCTATCTTGGTTATTGCTACAAATTTCGAATATGCACAATACAGAAGAAACTAAAAACTTAACTTCATAATCAGCTATAACGACTACTTATAACAATATTATAAATATTTAAAAAATCAGGGACAGTGCGACATGATCCCTCGCCACAGCACAAATGCAATATGGCGGCGATGAGTCAAGTCAGTCACGTGACTTCCAGTCAAAATCGAAAAATTAATTTTCAATACAAATTATTATTTAAAAATAATTTTCAAGACAACAATTTTACACTATAATATTCTTCAGCATAGTACTAGCTATTTTTCCGACATATATAAATGAGTTTTAAAGTTCAAAAAAAGTTTCGCGCCAAATAATACTTATTCTTTAAATATTATACTTAGGTATATCTTTAAATACTTACACAATATTGTTTTAAAAATAAAAAATATTTCAATCATAATATGTAGTATATTATTCAGAAAGTATTAAATTAATTACGTTTTTTTAATATGAAAAATTACTTAGACATTCAAGTAGTTTAGGTAAATTAAAAAGAAAAAATTGTTTTCACTGATTTTCAATCCAATAATTTTAAGCCCATAGTAATCTCTATTACGAGCTTGAACCTAAAATTAGTACAAAATTTAGGGCTAAGCTATCCATGTATCAAAATATCGAATACCAAATATTCATTACCAGGTGTCTCATTCTATCTTTACTTATATTAATGCGCGGAAAAGAGAAAGACAAATTGTGTACTCAGACACTATGAATAGGTATGCTTATCTGGCAGGGCAAGCCGCAAGCCTGAGAGAAAAAGTCCTCTATGTACAGAAAACTACGACTGTAGTTCTTATATACTCGTTGTTAAGAAATATATTTGCCGAAAATGTAATGATGAATATGTTGACTACCGTACAGAAAAGCCCAAGGTTATATAGTTCATAATATAAGTATGTATCTATGTATAGCATTTATAGAAAATATAGTCGATATATTATAATATTTATGTAGGTATACATAATAAGTATCTACAACGCACCATATTGATCTACAGCGCAACCTACTAGGCCAAGGCTAGGAGATTTTTGTTATACTTAATAATTATTTTAATATAATATTTCTGAAATTCTAATATGAATAGTGAAAAGTAAAAGTACGTTCACACTAATTAAAATAAGCATACGTGTTTCTGAACTCAATTATTTCGATTTAGATACCTACAACAAAAACATACATACCAAGTTCGTAGTTATTTTTCACCAATTAATAACCCAAAATAAAAAAAAAATTACAAAAATAAAAAAATACTGACTGCGTCAAGTTGACGAACGGACACGGTATTATGCAGTCGGAGACAGGTATCTACATTCTAAATGTTCTAAAATAGCTGTGCGTGTATGTCTCCGACTGCATAATACTAACACGGTAATGTAATGCATAAATATTACCGTGATACTAATGTCCCTTCGTCAACTTGTTCTCATCTTTTTAGTTCGCTTTTTACTTCGGGGTGTTTGTTTTTGTAAACTACTTTTTTTATTTATAGGTTTTTAGTTTTGGTTAGTTAGACATTTTTAGTTTTATTTAACAACTAGAAAAACACTAATAGAGATCTATTAGTTCCCACGGGAAACGTTCATTTTTCCGGGATGAAAAGTAACCTGTTGTTTGACCGCCAATGTAAGGTATGAGCATGCCGAAATTTTACTCAATTAGGTGCATAAGTTGCTGTGTACTAAGCTGTATAAGTTACTATAGTTTTTTAACTATCCCACGGGGACTCTTTAATTTTCCGGAATGAAAAGTATCTTACATGTTGCCCGGGGATATAAGGTACCACTATGCAAAATTTCATTTAAATCGGTCCAATAGATTTGGAGATTAGCCCGTACAAACAGACATACAGACAGAGAAACAAAAAATTTGAACAAAATCTGGATTTGTTCTATTTATCTTCTTACATCCCCCTGACTCAGGTTTTAGCATTTTTTTGCTATGTACAGACATCGATCTCTACTGTTTTATTATAGTATAGATAGAAGATAGATTCCATAGCCTAAAAAATAATAGGCTCTCATAAACCTGTATTTTAACCCTCCGCTCGATTAGTTCATACAAAAAAATTTGGTTGTAATTTTTGAAGTACTTTTTATAGTTAGTCGCTAGCGAATCCGCAGGTTCCGCTAGTATATATATGCTCCTGACTCCTGACTGACAGATGGATCAAGAGCGCAGCCTAAACCGCTGGTCGTAGAAAAGTGAAATTTGGAGAACATGCTCCTTAAAATTTGTATAAAACTATATTTTTAACGTAAAATATATATGCAGAAAATTGTATTAGGCCTTAAAATAAAATATAAAACATGTTACGTATGAACTATCTTTATTAGATTTTTGAAATAATCCCTTAAATGGTTAAAAGGGATGGTAATTATATTTATAGTTGATAAAAAATATTTATGAACAGAATTACTTAAAACTTGGTATTAATGCTCTTCAAACAATTAAAAAAATAAGGATTTAAGATTTTTTCAAAAGTTAGCTACATAAGGGGGTAAAAATTTGTGGCTTTGGCCCACCGTAATGTGCATAGGCAAATTATGTAACGACTGCTGTAATCGACTGCGATAATCCATAAAACATTATAGTGGCCATGTCTTTTTACTTTCTACTTTAAATAAAAATGATAATCTCCGACTACGTCTTTGAATTTAATCTTTTTTAACTCATCCATAAGAGGGTACCGAGCTTTTAGCATATACACATTTTGAAAATATAAAGTGTACCTATACGATATAGAACACGAAGGTAGGTATATGTACCTACCTACTTTTGTTATTATTAAAAAACTAATGAACTTCTTTGAATTATTTACGCCACACTAAGGGTTTATTTTGTGTTTTAGAGATAACTTTGTTTTTTTTTTGCATGCGAGGAAACTACAAGTAATCGTGTTTCTAAAGTGTACAATTTATAGAATAAATCCTTAAATATCCTACATATTAATTGCATAATTAAAGTTTTAGTAATAACAATACAGCAAGGGATCAAACGGACGCAATTATTTCGTAATTACGTTTCACTGCCTCGGTGCGTCCTTAAAGTTTGCTTTGCAACAACCAATAATAAAAATCAGGGCCAGTCGTTAAAGTAGCAGGCATAGACTTAATAGAGGATTGCTTCTCACGTGGACATTTTAGCAGAAACCTGAACCAGACAGTACATCCAACAATGTGGTATACAAAGAAGTTCATAATTAAATCCAATCTTCCTGTTCGTGACTGTATAAATGTACACATAATATAAAAAAAAGATATTATAACTAATAAGTTCAATATAAATTAAAAATGTGCAATTTTTTTAGTACACGCGAGAGTAATCGCGGGCAGAGAGCTACAACAAAATAAGAATGACACTTTAAAAGTTTGAACACGTAACTTAAAAGAGGGAGGGCAGCCTGGAAGTTTCAGGTGAAGGTATATAAACTTGGCTCTTTAAGAACAACGTTGATGTTATCCTCTTAGTATTTTAATTAATAAGACCAACATTAGCCGAGTTTTTTTTAAAGTCGTAAACATTGTATGCGAGTTGTATCATTATACACTCTTCCTTTAACTTTGAAAAGATGGGGTGTAAAAATGCGCAAAAAATAGAAGTAGTGGAGCTGTGGAGCGTGCTAAATACATATATATTCAACATATATTCTATAAAATTAATTTATAGAATATATGTTGAATATCTTTTAAAATACTGGATATTTTGAGTTTCGACCGCTAAAATTAATTTTTTTCTATATCTTCAGGCGATAAGCTTTATATTCGGCGGTACGGATAACGGAACCCTCGAAGCGTTACTCAAAATCATACTCACGCATTGTTGTTTTTAAGGTTCAGTGTAGCACATTCGCAAAGCCATATCAAGACTTTGTATATTATCTATATAATATAATAAAATTGTATCTAAGTGGAATCTGTACATTAAATATTTTTTGGAAAATCTTATTAAAATAGACATTATTATTGATATAGAGGCCGAATCTGTAGTTTTTAGAATTTTTGTCTGTCTATCTGTCTGTCTGTCTGTTACCGCATCACGGAAAAACCACTGGAGGGATTTTCATGAAATTTGGTATGGTGATAGCTGGTTATCCGGGTCAACATATAGGATATTTAAAAAAAAAAAATAGGGAACATATCGCATTAATGAGAAAAAATACAAAACTGCATTGTAAGATTATACTAATATGTAAAACCTAAGAATTTGGTTTTTGGTAATCTAAACGCGGGCGGAGCCGCGGGCAATGCTAATCGGAAATATCAAGATACATTATCGACCTAGGTTCTTTCTCTCGTCTGTCATAGTTGTCACTGGTGTGGCCAGGCGAGAAATTACACATAATTTTCCTTTGGATTTGAATTAATCTCTATTCTCTATCCCACACAGTAAGTGTGTACTTAGAAATAGAGCTATAATAAATTTCATACGGAGATTTCAACTTAGTAAAGATTGAGCGGGAGTTTAATTAAGCGTCAAAGCTATAGTATCTATGCTGTAGTAGTGTAATGTCAATGTAATGCTGATTTTTAAGTCAACTCGAGCCTCCTTTTCATATTTACTTTATACATAATAAATATATTTTATCGTAAATTTTTCAATTGAACTCTATCAACTTGATACTTTTTAATATAAATTATAATGACTGTATAGCAAAGGTCTACGAAAAAGCGAAAGGAACTTCGTTCTGACCAGGGGTCCATAGACCCATCGCTTTATTTTTTTTATCTTGATGAATTTTAACAATAAAAATGGCGCATTTTCTTATCAACTTGATCACCGATTTTTACTCCCTTACGGGATCAATTACAATAATGTTAAAACACATGTTTATTAAATTGAACTGAAGATCATTAATACCAAGTGTCAATTAAGTCTGAACATAAAATACATTTTTGACCCCAGATATTACAGCCTTTTACCCTTTTAAGAGATGAATATCGAAAAATTCTGATATATTTACGTATTGACGACTCGTTTGGCTCAGTTTGTACCCTATTTGCTGTGCTAATGGTCGCGGGTTCGAGTCCCGCTGGGGGCATTTATTTGTGTGATGAGTACGAATGTTTGTGCTCCAGTCATGGGTGTTTCTATTTATAATATGTATGTATTTAAAATTATAAATGTGTAGTGTATCAACTATCTGGTATCCATAACACAAGCCTCGTTGCTTGTCATGGAACTAGGTGGTGCTGTGCGTTAATGTCCCAATGTATTTTATTTTTTTACTAGCAGAACCCGCGACTTCACTCACGCTGAAACTACAAAAAAACTCTAAAAAGTGGGTTTTATAAAAACTTTTATCCCCTATTTTACCCTCTTAGGGATTGAATTTTAGAAAACGCTGAAATAAGTGACTCATTATTTTTGCCGTACTCAATTCTTACGAAATTTCATGCAAATATGTCCAAGTAATAAAAAGTTTCATACAAACTTTCATCCCCTATGTCACCCCCTTGAGGGTGGAATTTTGAAAAATCTTTCCTTAGAATGCCTTCGTCATATGAGGAATACGTGTGCGAAATTTCATTATCTAGCCTTAATTAAGGGTTTGGCCTGTGCGTTGATGCGTCAGTCAATTCCTTTTGCTTTTTATATATACATATATAGATTTTAGAGGTAAGGTAGGTATGCAACATGAAATGATTAATTGCCCTTAGGGTGACTATCCGCAAAAGTAAATGGGTCGACTACCCTTTTCGTTACGGATACTTACTTGTCCTTATATTTTAAAAAATAAATAAAAGCTTTTTAACAATATATGGTAATAGGTAGTGTAATTTAAACTTCAATGTATGCGTAGAAGAAAAAAGTAGTCTGATTTCACAACCAGAAGAATTTTTGTAATTAAGGAATTTTTATCTAGCGGTTTACATGATACACCTACCTATCAAATTTTCATAGTGTTTGAGTAAATGGGTGTGACAGACGGACAGACACGGACATGATAAAATTATAAGAATTATGTTTTATACTTTTAGCTACGGAACCCTAAAAATAAAGAAAGGAGAAATGTTGATGAATTATAATAATAATTATTAGGTACTTAATATTTAATAGGAATATTAATTTAATAAGCTAAATCTATTTTCAAAATTATCACTATGTGATTTTGCTAATAGAATGAATACACGTCACTTCAAACGTTAAAAACTTATCATGTTAACATTTTATCAAAACACGAACAATATTTTTATCGTATCTGTTTATATTGTCAAAAAATTACTTAATACGTTACAGAAGATGTTTAGAATGAAGATTTTATTTTCTTTATTTCTGTACTTACGTGACACTATAAATTTATTTGTCCCTGCTATATATATTTTTCTCCTTTTATTACATTAAGCTTTGATAAGATATAGTCGAATAATATTAGTTTACAAGCGTAGATTTAGCGAAATGATAGAAAGTCAACTGCTATATTGCGTATAAAGGAACGTCTTACTTCAACCAGCGATAATACCAAGTGCTGACGTTTTATTTATGTTATCTGTTGCAAGTGGCAAGTGGGGATATACGACATACTACATAGTTAATATTTTGTAGTAAAGGAATAAGGAAATAGTTTTGAGTTTTCTTTTAAATTTGATTATTGATTACTTAGGGATGTGAAATTTAAGTTTTAATAATAAAGTACTTGTATTTTAATTTATTTAATGTCGATTAAAGTCATATCAAGTCTAGTAGTTTTATATTAGAGAACTAGTCATTTTAAAATATTGTGATATGGTGATAATGTCATGTTATAGTATTTCATTAGTTTTTATTTTTATCATAGTTTCTGTTAGAACAGAAGAAGATGTTTCGTTACGTATGTCCAAAGCAGAAAGATTAAGCTTAAGGTAAGACTTGAGATTTCAATGTGTCTTATGCCCCAAAGCAAATACCCTTAATTTTCCTTGATATATTTTTTGATATCTTTGTTTTATAAATTTCAAAGTTTATAACACCTAAGATAATATATATGAAAAGATCACATAAAATCATAGAAGCAAAATTATTTTGGTTGTTATTTATATTATACTTAAACCTTATTTGTGTATAGATATAGAGAATTCTTTTATTCAATTGAATATTTTAATAGCTTCAGCGTTATTTTTAGTTTAAAAAACTATCATCAAAAGGATTTTTGTTACTCTACTTGATGTAGCTTAATTACTTAATTTATTTAGGGAGGAATCGCGACGTATGTTCTACCATGCCTATGATGCATATATGGACAATGCCTACCCTGCAGATGAATTAATGCCATTAAGCTGTAAAGGTAGATGGAGGGGTGTTACTCCAAGCAGGGGTGACATGGATGATGTACTTGGAAAGTAAGTTTATAATATATTTTATCAGCTAAGGGCTCATTAATCCAATGACAGCTAGGAACAATTATGGATTCACTGTGACTTTTTAAGTCAAAGTAAAAAGATAAATTTTGAAGAAACAAGATTTATAAAAATTGAATGTTACAAAATACCATTTAGATTTAATGCTCACTTCCCATTTGAATTATAAATATTATTATTATATAAAGCTGAAAAGTTTGTTTTTATTTTTAACAGTCTATATCTGAAGGTAGCGGTCTCATTACAAATAGTCTTTGTGCTTGTGGGAAAACCTAGTTTAAAATATCTATTCTTTCATTCTCTATTTATCTTCTCTGCCTATTTAACATCTAAATTTAAATGTCATTGATTGTCCAGTGATTTTGACCAAATTTCTGATAAACATACCTCATATAAGTGGTTGCAGTTTAGTATATGGGATGCGGCCCCTGGAGAAGTTGGTGGTATTCTTGGATAGGAGAGGCAATAGGGAGTCCAAATATATAATTTTTTTTAGGAAACAAAAGAGTCAAAAGTTATTGAAACTTAGTTACAACATTTCTTTACATTATTATGACATTACTGCCATTTTGACACTTGGAAATGTCAAAATGTCACTTCCAAGGGCTAATATGATTTTCAAGTAATGACTGAGTCAGATCTATCATTGAACACCGAGCTATGCTACGCTTTGCTCACTTCGAAATATTTTTAATAATTTATATCTTTTTTAACTTATTGCAATATGTAACCTATCTATGGTACCTATGGTAACCTGTAAAAAAGTATGTTTATCTGTACAAGTCATGTCCGCGTGGAATAGTGACAAGAATGCTAGCCGCATTCCCCCGTTGAATGAAACTTGGGAACATGGGTAAAATGAATTTAGATTTTCTATAATAAAAAAAAGTGTATTAAATTAATGTTAATCATTAGAGATCAGATATGATTTACAATATAAATTTTGATTAAATTTAAAGGCTTATTTACAATGTAGGTATAGATAAGAATTTGATAAGTACTTTTACATTTTACGTATTTACATTTTTATCAGGTTTAGGACCAAACAATTATAATATAGTTCCTGAGTGGTATGATTGGTTTCAATTGTGTTTGAAACACATAATATACATTACTGGTAGGTATTAACTTGCCCTTCTGCTTGTATACGTTATTTATCTGTACATACAAATAAATAAAATTGAATTATCTGCTTGTAATGTCAAAATAATAGTTTTTTACTAAACGCATATAATGAAAGTATATGTGGTATAAGAAAAAAACCATTTTTAAAGTTTTAGTCTGTTTGATCCGGCTAATCTCCAAAAGGCTGGACCGATTTCGATGAGACTTTCACTGACATATAGCTGATGTTATAAGGAGTAATTTAGGCTACTTTAATTTTAGAAAAACAATTAGGGTTCCACGCAAAAACCATGAAATTGTGAACAAAACCCGCGTACGCATCCAAGCGATGCGAGGGTGTCACTAGATCATAATTTATTACTCCCGTGCCTCGGAGAGTACGTAAAGCCGTCGGTCCTGTGCCTTGACTCCCACCGGTTGTGTCAAAGTATCGTCCCCTCGGACTTGGATAGTAAAAGGTATAGAGAGTGCACGTTGCGTCTGCGTGTATTCTAATTTCTCTATCATATTTCCTGCTCATCTGGCTAGCCTCAGTGAGACTGGCCGCCGTAGTCGCAATCGGTCAGAAGGATATTATTACATTAGATTGCTATATACACCTGGATATGAGAATCGCATCAAAGTACCTATTTATTTTCACAATTAGTGTGTATTGAATTGAAATTAATGCATATCTGAATGTAGGTCAAGTTATAAGGTACCGATAAAAAGAAAAAAAAAACACCTTGATATAAACCTTGTTGAATGAAAATGAATATTTTTAGTTGTTATTTTACTTGTTAGTTAGTAATTCTCGTTTGGCTTTCCTGAAGTATTGTATCATACATTTTGCCTATGAAAAGAGGTTACATTATAACACTGATTTTTATAGGCATGATGCCTATATAGTAACCAAATATAATAATAATTTATGTTTATATAACTATTTGTGTTGTGTAGTTCTCCTTATTTTATGTCTTACTTAGGAAATAGATTTATAATTACAACGATCGTGTTTACAATAAGTACAACCAAAAATACCGAATTACTCCTTTGAATTAATACCATGGAATACAAACTTATGGGACCTCTCTTATTTTTTTGTATTTAATACAAAGAATAGACTTTGTAAATTGTTCATACGTGTTGACTGAGGGTAGGATGATTTCGTATACACATACCATATGCGTATGAAAATTAAAAAAAATGAATCGCTATATAATATAGTAAAGATATAAGAAAATTGCGATAACGAAATGTTTAAGAAAATTCTAGACGTGTGTCGAATTATTCTTTCGATAACCTTGCATATTTGTAATCCGTATTTGTTTTTATATTAGATTTATCATCATTATTTTAAACTTCACAACTCATTGATTTTAATTAGAACCTCTTTAATTGAGTATGATAATGTTGTGCCTAATATATATTAGGTAATAAATATTTTTTAATCTTATGATTAAACTTGATTATCATATAAAAACGTAAAAACATTAATGCTAGTATAAATTCAGTGGGAGCGTTGTATAATCCATACTAATATTATAAATGTGAAAGTGTGTTTGTTCGTCCTTCTTTCACGTCGAAACGGAGTGACTGATCGGCGTGATTTTTTGTGTGGAGATAGAGGGCTGGAGAGTGACATAGGCTACTTTTTACCGCGGGAGATTATCTAATTTCCACGTGAATACACGTTATAATACAATCCAAAAATTATATATGATCAGAATTACTTGAAACTTGGTATTATTGCTCTTTAATAAAATTAAATAAATAGGTGTATTAGCATTTTTTGAAATTCATCCTATAAAGAGGTAAAATAGGGAATGAAAGTTTGAATGAAACTACCTTTTTAGAGATATTTTTGTAGTTTTAGCGCGAGCGAAGCCGCGGGTTCTGCTAGTATTTTAGTTTTATACTTTACAATAGGTGGAAAATTATATATTATATACTCGTATAAAAATGAGATTATAAACGATGGCTTAATGAGGTTATCGGCGCGTGAATGTATAGTGACATTAATTTCACTAATAACTTTAAATATCTTATAATAACTAATACCTAACTTTAAAAAAAGTAAATAATTATACTTATGTTAGATGTGATGTTGTATTGACTTTTATAGTATAGTAGGCGCTATTTCCATTTTATGACTTATTAGTTTCTAGCAGAGCGAGCTTTGCTCGCGCTAAAACTACAAAAAATCTCTGAAAAGGTAGTTTCATACAAACTTTCATCCCCTATTTTAACCCCTTATAAGATGAATTTCAAAAAATGCTAAAACACGTGTTTATTTAATTTTATTAAAGAGTATTAATACCAAGTTTCAGGTAATTCTGATCATAAATATTTTTTTGGATTGTATTATATCGTGTTTTCCTATGGGAAAGAGATAATGTCCCGCAGTAAAAAGTAGCCAATGTCACTCTCCAGCCTTCCAACTATCTTCACACAAAAAATCACGCCACACCGTCACTCCGTTTCGACGTGAAAGAAGCACAGACAAACAAACACACTTTCACATTTATAATATTAAGTATGGATTACACATGTACGAGTATTTTCTATTTGGCTATATTTTACTGATTTTATTATTATATGTGTAACATTTTTATAACATAAATTATTTCGGTAGCTTTCCAATCATCTCCATCTATCATTCGTTGTCTATCTATTTTCTCTTGTATCGTTGAGTCTCTCCCAATGTGATGGGGTATCTGTACTAGACACTTTTTTTAACGTTGCGAAATGCATTTACGCACGAGGTGTGGGACTAACCGGCAAAGCCAGTACTGTCCACTAAAACCCAACAGAACCTTCCCCCGTCTTTATGGGGCGCATGATCGCTTACGCATTCAACTACGACGTCCTGACGGTAGGTCTGCCGAAGCAGACCACAACAACCATGGGGTTCCTAAAAGATCCACTCTGCTATCAGAGAAGTATCTGTACTAGACACTAATGTAAGTACTCGCAACATGATATCATATATGATATAGTTTAGTGGGATACACACAAAACTCAGCTCCATATTGTATTTAATAATTAGATTAATCTATCTGTGTGCTAAGTTTCATCTTAATTTGTTGAACGATTAACGAATGATCAAGTAAACATGCAAACATTTTTACAAACTCTTACATTAGTGACTGGATGAATTTTATAACTAAATTATCTAATAATAAATAAAATATCATGTTTTTATTTCAGTTTTTCCCTCACGCTAGTAGACAGTCTAGACAGTCTCGTCGTGATGGGAGATTTTGCAGAGTTTAGCCGGGCCATTAAGTTAGTTATTAATGACGTCACTTTCGACCATGATATCGTCGTGTCGGTGTTTGAGACTAACATTCGGATGCTTGGGTAGGTCAAATAGCGGTATCACTCCGAGCATGTTTTACCAGTTCCTGATACGAATATTTAATTACTTTATTGTTGTCAGGACTCGTGTTTTTACTTTTTATATGTATATTTCTTTTCTAATATTAGCATACTGTACATAATATATTTGAATAATGTAATTAAAATATCACACGTATATGTATACTGTACACTAAAAAGTTAATTAACAAATGATTTTTTAGAGGCTTATTGTCCGCACACGTACTAGCAATGGCATTGAAACCTGATGTTCCTGCTTTGCAATGGTACGAGGGTGAGCTTCTCACGATGGCTGAAGATCTTGGCCGTAGATTGCTCCCAGCCTTTAATACATCAACCGGAATCCCCCATGGACGAGTCAGTATAAAATAATCTAACTACGAATGTTTATCAATTTCATTTTAACCACATGATGATTGTCTTAAATTACGTAGTCTGGAGACTGAAAAATGAATCATTCTACTTTTAGTTTATTAGTTTAAGATTGTATGTAAGTTTAAGTTTGTTTGTTGTGTATATATGTATGTATGTACATATGTATGTATGTATCGAGTATATAGATGTACTATGACATTAAGTACATAGGTGGACTATTTGTAATAACATTTGCTATGACATACATATAATAAATATCCTTGCTCTAAGTGTTACTATGTGCATTCATGTCTGCGACTGTACAATGCAATGTTCCTTCGCCAATTTGTTCTCATCTTTTTAGTTCGCTTTTTACGCAATCGGTTTTTTTATTAGACAATTTTTGTTAGGTATATGTTACAATTTCTTATCCTAAATTATTTTTAAAAATATAAGTTGTATATAGTTTTGCAATCGCCCTTTTAAAACTGGTATTTTATTACCCTACTCGATTGATTTGGGCGAAACAATTTTTTCAAGGCCATTTTGATTATTAATGACGTGTATAATATGTATATTCGCGTTATTAAGACGAATTTAACGACGTATGAATCATGTAATTCGTTTAAGCAGTTTATTAATTACGAGGGAACATAGGATCGGACATATATACATACATACATACAGGTCAAACACAACCCTCCTTTGGGCTTCGCCGTAGTCGGATAAAAAAGTGCTTAAACTCAAAATAAAGACCTGAAAAAATTTCGCCCTCTTAATTATAATTTTGAACATTTAGGTGAACCTTCGACACGGTATACGAGGGCTGTCAGAATCGCGTGAAACATGCACTGCCTGTGCCGGGACTATGATATTAGAAATGGCAGCCCTTTCTCGTCTCACCGGCAACCCCGTGTACGAAACAAAGGCTCATAAAGCTATGGACCGTCTATGGAAAATTAGGCATAGGTACGTGCTAGATTACTGTCTTTTTTTATTTATTGTTAAATAAATACCAAAGGGGGTTTTACTCGTGTGTAGATATAAATTCGATTAAATCATGAATATGACATTTATAATTTACTTTATATTAGTTTCTATAGTATAGTTTATCTAGAACGGAAAGTTCTATATAAGGGACATCAAGTACTGACCGATTAAACAGACAAACAAAAATTTATCCAAAAACTGACGATGTACCTTAGTTTCTTTTACATTCCTAACATTGTAAATAAAAAAAGTTAGTTTTATTTTAGTTGAGTGAGAACATCCAAACAACATCAGCTCTTATTTTTTGACCGACTTCATAAAGGAGGGAATACTTATATATAATATTATATTTTGTATGTTTTTTTGTGTGTGTTACGAGACGTCTTTGCCAATTGTGAATCGATTTGCGTAATCTTTTATTAATTTAATTACTTATATAGTAAGGTAGTGGTAACCCAGTGGTAGCGCGCTCGCTTGGGGAACCGATTGAAGCGGGTTCAAATATTTTCACGTGCGATTCATTTCTAACATGATGACCCTTGCCTTATGGTGAAGATAAACATCGTGAAGAAAGCTCTATGTCTGAGAGAATCTAGCAAGTTTTCGAAAAACATGTGAAGTCCGCCAACACGCACTTGTCCAGCGTGGTGGACTACGGCCTTAACCGCCGCGTATTGAAGGGAGACCCGTGCCCAGCAGTGGAACGTTAAGAAGGGCTAAATACAATATAATATTTAAATCGTAATTTAATTTCTACTCAAAGTAAGCCTTACGTTAACTAGCCGTGGATTGAAAGAATTAAACAGTCTAATATAGTATGTAATTTTATAATGTCTTTATAACATCTATAATTCTTAAACATTAAGACTGACTTAATATTACACAAGACACTTAAAGCTTAAAAAAAACAAAATTCCCAAATTTTAAGTCTTTCTAGCACTAGATATTTGTTTGGAGATTTCCTTTGCTTTCAGGACTTCTGATTTAATGGGTACAGTCATAAACATACACAACGGAGATTGGGTTCGGAAAGATTCGGGCGTTGGAGCGGGAATTGACTCTTACTATGAATACTGTCTGAAGGCGTACATACTTCTTGGAGACGAAAAATATCTGGCCAGATTCAATAGGCATTATAATGCAGTTATGAAGTATATAAGTAGAGGGCCTATTATGTTGGCTGTTCACATGCATAGGTAAGTTTCGATTTTTCCATTTAATAAAATTTTCTTGTAAAAATCCTTTACAAGTGAATTCTTTCCTACGGATTTTTGTAAAAAAATATAGAAATCGAACTTCTTATATTATAAATGCAAAAGTTTGTATGTGTGTGCGCGTATGTGTATGGAATTTGAATGTTTACTACATAGAAAACAGACAACTTAGAGTAACACATAAGCCACTGATAGGGCCATCCCTTAGTGCCTATCAGCTTATGTGAGCAAAGCGAGGGTAAATCCCCAATTTAACATAATATGACTAAGATGAAGTCTCTAAATTTGTCTGACAGATAAGCTGATATAAATTAAAATAGAAAGCTAACAATATCTATTCCACAAAGTGATCTTGTATGAATGCACACATATCTCTTACTTCACAGGCCGCATCTCCAATCGCGTAACTTCATGGACGCTTTACTCGCGTTCTGGCCGGGCCTACAAGTGCTACTAGGTGATGTCCGACCCGCTGTTGAAACACACGAAATGTTATATCAGGTCATGCAACGGCACACATTCATTCCTGAAGCGTTTACGTCGGACTTCCAGGTAAGTGTTTTAGGTTGTATATAAAACTATCTTTTCGCGGTTTTATTTTGATTTTTGGTTTCCGACGCTACGAATGCTTTACAGCAATCATGATCACGGGAGAGTCTCTCCGAAAAGATGGTTTTATTTAAAATGTCAATTATTCGCGTAAGTCTAAGAAAGTGTTCACTCAAATTGTGATGCAAATATTCTACTCATTAACGTAATCAGGTGTCGTAAGTTTATTAAAACCGGTTCAGATAAAGTACTTCCATACAATAAAAAGAGTCGTGTGAATCGGACGGTCGGATAGAAAGATAATATCTTTTATATTAGTAAAATTACAAAATATTTTAAATACATGTTTTTAGAGACGTAATGTGGGGAACTTTTATTATGTTGAAAATAGTAAAATATCTTTTTTTATGAAACGATTTATTTTTTACTTTTATTCTATTCTCAAAATGTAAATAACTCTACAAATTAATTAAAGAATAATCTACACGAAATTGTGCTTTTCACCAGATATTGATCATTCAAAATGATTATATACAGGTCCATTGGGGTCAACACCCACTCCGTCCAGAGTTCCTAGAGTCCACATACTTCCTCCACCGTGTAACCGGTGACGATCACTATTTGCAAGTTGGTAAAACAGTGCTCAAAGCACTTCAACAACACACAAGAGTTCCTTGCGGCTATGCGGCTGTAAACGATGTAAGAACAAGAATTCAAGAAGATAGAATGGACTCGTTTGTTCTAGCAGAAACATTTAAATACTTGTACATGCTGTTCGGTGAAGATAAAGATTTGCCAGTCAAGTTGGAAGATTACGTACTGACTACTGAAGCACATTTCTTGCCTCTCTCTCTAGCAACTGATGGCCGGAACGGCTCTTTGCTAACGTTCAAAATTGATGATGAAGATGACGATAAATATAGAAAGTAAGTTATTTTTTATTAGAGTTCTTATACTGCTGTTTAATATATGCATGTATGTATTGAAGTATAAGAAACCAAATAAATTCAATTCAATTTTCTTGTTAATGGCTTCAAAGAGTGCCAGTTCAGCACAAATTACATCGCCAATACCACGTTAATGGAGAGAACGAAGAAGTTAAATAAACTAACTACATAATTATAAAAAGTCTATTTATGAAGCTTACAAAAATCTTTTATAAGTTTTAGAATTCATTTATCGGCAGATATTAAAAATAATAAACTTAAATTGGTCATCACTCCCCCTTATTTTGACACGAGAACGGATTTAAAAAAAGCTATTAATTTGCGGAAAATATAAGGAAATTCCCAAACTTACGTGGACAATTGCCTAAATTTAGCTTATGGATACCATCACACTGACATTAATGTATAATCCATACTTCCATACAATTCATACTAATATTATAAATGTGAAAGTGTGTTTGTTTGTTTGTTTGTTTGTTTGTCTGTCTGTTTGTCTGTCTTTCTTTCACGTCGAAATGGGGTGACGGTTTTTTTGTGTGGAGATAGTTGGAGAGCTGGATAGTGACATAGGCTACTTTTTACTGCAGGAGATTATCTAATTCCCACGAGAAAACACGATATAATACAATCCAAAAATTTATTTCTGATTACAATTACTTGAAACTTAACTATTAATGCTCTTCAATAAAATTAAATACGTAATATGTTTTAGCATTTTTCGAAATTCATTCTATAAGGGGGTAAAATAGTAGATAAAAGTTTGTATGAAACCTAGGTACCTACCTTTTTAGAGATTGTTTTGTAGTTTTTGCGCGAGCGAAGCCGCGGAATCTGTTAGTTTATTAATAAATACTAGCTGACCCGACAGACGTTGTCCTGTCTACACGTCTTTAATTTGAAAATTTCAAACTTTTTTTAATAAGCTAAAACATTCTGGACCATTTTGATGAAAATTATTATTCAAATTGTGAATCTAAACCATTCTCAGATCCCCTTGAACACACACAAAAAATTTCATCAAAATCGGTCCAGTCGTTTGAGAGAAGTTCAGTGACATACGCACTCACAGAAGAATTATATATATAAAGATATATTTGGAAATTTCCAGAACGTGTCCAAACACAGCGTCCCTAGTAGCAGAAAAAGTGAGGCAGCCGATGCGTCAGATGTTAGGTTCCACCGCTGCCAGGCCTCCCGCCAGGCTCCGTCCTTTGAACGACCCGCGTCAGATACACGCTCTGTCAGACATGGGCATATCAGTACTAACACTGCCTGATGGCAGAGTTCAGCTCTTGTATACCACTAATACGGTAAGGTCTATTGTTTAATTGAAAATGAGGCTAAGAAAATTGTTTTACGTTTTTTTCTAATAAGATGACTCATAAAAAGATATAAACTGTTGATTTTAATATACGAAACTGGTATTGTTTGCATTTTCTTTTTTAATATTAACTACTATGTTAAAATAAATGAAAGTAAATAATACTTATGTTGTAGAATAATTCCGAATTTGTCTACGGATAATATTAGTACTCTTATTATTACCAATAATATTATAATAATTCAGATAATAAAATACTTTAAACTTTGAGCGGTATGATCGTCTCGTTGTAGTTCACTTTGTTGATTCCTCTGTAATGGGATGTCTCCCGTTACAGAGGAATCAACAAAGTTTAATCAGTCAGTTATTTAAGTCTAATTCCACTGATACGATATAAAAAAATAATATATTTTGATGACTCGTTTGGCTCAGTTTGTAGTTAGTCGCGGGTTCGAGTCCCGCTGAAGGCGAATTTGTATGATGAGCACGAATTTTTGTACTCCAGACAGGGGTGCTTATATCTATAATATGTACAAATAAATATTGAAAGTTACATATGTGTAGTGTAGTAGAAATATTGATACATATTTAAGTTATAAAGTCCATGGTTTTTAGACGTAATTTATTCACAGGCTAAATCAGCTAAAGACGCAGCCGAAGGCCTAACATTCATGCGTGAGATGTCCAAATGGAATACACTAAGCGATACAGAGAACGGGGTGGTTGCAGCGGGTGTTAAAATCAATGACAAAATATTCCCCGCCGGTCCCGGCCATTTTGGTAAGGACATATCCGGTGACGACAGATATTCGGGAACACCGGTATTTGTCACCCCTTCTGATGCATGCTCACCGATAGAGAATAAGAAGGAAATGTGGGGCAGATTCGCTCTAGCCACCCGAGGAGTTTGTACATTTGCACAAAAAGTTAGGAATATCCAAGAGGCGGGTGCGACGTTTGCGGTCATATTGGACAATGTAAAGGACTCTTCATACGAAAACACTGTACTTTTCGCGATGTCCGGCGATGGTAAAGATGACATCGAAATACCCGCCGTGTTTCTATTTTCCCAGGAAGGTGCCTACTTGACTGAAGCTTTGCAAGAGAACCCCGAACTTATAATGACAGTGGGAGAGTTAAAATCTATGAAGTATCAGTTTGAAAAATCTTGCGATAACGGAAATTGTGATCCCATTATGAACGCGCCATCCATTCCGGCGGACCGTGAATCGTTCGTTCATCTGAAAAAAGTACTTAGTCAACTCGTTGCCCAATTTGAGTTGTCATTATCTAACGAAGAACCTATACAATCCAAATCCTGTAGTGAAGACAACCTCGACCTGCAAGTGTCCAAAGAGAAATTCGTAAATGAAGACCGTAGTGTCTGCACAAATTGTAATGATAAGGATAAAGACAACGAACCCACTGACAAATATGAGTATGACAAGAATAAAGCTGGCGACATCTGACACAACTTCTCAACCTTCGATGGTGTTTAGATCAACGAGGTTCGATGTGATTGTATCATAGTTGTAAATATAGATTGTAAGATAAATGTTGAGGAGTCTTCGTGCCTTCGTCCTAAATATGAGACACGATTATTTTTATCCATATCTTAACTGCATGATGTTTTAAAATTAATATATTAAGAATAAGGTCAGTCTATTGTTTCCGAAAGTTTTACATTAAACAGATTATTTTGAACAGATATTTTAAACAGATTTTATTTATTTCATTGTAATTTTATATGTTTCTTTTATTTCTATACATAGTAAATAATAAATCAAATATTTTATTTTTATTTTATTTTTGTTATGAATTGACAAAATATTGTTTTGTTCATGTTTCAACTTACGGTGGCCACACACGCTTAGATACTTACAGCATTTTTGCCTATACAAAGGTATGTAGCTTGGATCGCAATTATTTGTACAAGTCAATGGAATTGTACAGATAACCGCAATCCAAGCTGAAGAAAACTGAAAATGTACAGTTGGATGCCACTCACGCTCCGATTTACCTGTACAGTTTAAGTATGTAGGCAAACCTTCACAGGTATGCCTTCGCCTGTATGGCTACTGTTACACATGGTATTTCTATTAAAATGTTTTTTAGCTATGAATAAAATAAGATCAACTTAATGTTCTTAAAATGATAAAGTTTAAAACAGAAATAATTGATTTTAATAAACTGTCTTACACTGAAATGTCTATTTATTCAATATACATTATGAACTGGATTACTTATTTCTTTTCGTAACTATAAAAATATGAAATATAATAAAGTATAATAATTCCAAACGCTACTGTCATTGTTTTTAAAAAATATTTCATGTACAGATTTAGCTAAGTTACTATGCTATTATATTATGTATATACTAACATTGCCCGCGTTCAGATGATCAAAAACCAAATTCTTAGGTTTTACATATTAGTATACTATTACATTGCAGTTTTTGTATTTTTTTCAGAAATGAGACGTTTTCCCGCGGTAAAAAGTATCCTATATGTTGACCAGCTAACATCATATCAAATTTCATCAAAATCCCCCCAGTAGTTTTTTCGTGATGCGGTAACAGACAGATAAAAATTCTAAAAACTATAGATTCGGCCTCTGTATCGATAATAATGTTTATTTCAATAAGATATTCCAAAAAATATTTAATGTACAGATTTGGCTTAGTTACAATTTTATTATATGTATAGATAGATTATAGTTGTGCAAAATTTGTTTATGTGCATTTGTACGAATTTTTGTTACCATTTAATGCTGGAAACGAGAAAATGTTTTGATATATTTTGATGAAATTCAATACACAGAAACCTAGATACCATTCGAGCGAAGCTAGGTCGCTAGTAATTAGTGATAATAATTATACAGATGGACTTATTATTGTATATTTTTTCTGTGTTTTCATCTGCAATTAGTCCCTGGACTATAAAAGGATAGGTGGTGCGATAACTGGCGTTATGGGTGAGCCCTCCATTGAGGACACTTTTCTTTTTTTGTTTTGAGGGCGCTAAACCCTCTCGTACAGCTGTAGTACATCATGCCTTTTTAGGCGCCTAAGTTGTTTTTGGCTTTTAAGCTAGATTGCTATTTGATTGGGGTCTGAGGCAAGCCGTTGTTGGTATGTTCTTGAGGCAGCTCTAATTTCTTTCTTCACTGTGGAAATAGACATATTAAAAATTATTTTGGAAAAATTATGTGTAATTAAGTTTGTCCTTTAAATATTTAAATACTATACTCTATACAGAGAAACGAAGAATCAATCCGGACCCGAGTTATCGACATAAGAATGTTATTCAGTTTATTCATTTTCGTTTTTAAGAGCAAGAGACGATCTAAACTGAATGTTAAAATATATATGTTGTGAAAATGCTATCCTATAACCCATGTATGTTAAGATTGACTAGGTAACGCTTACGCCTGATGCCCCGAAGCATAAAACTGAACCAATATAAAAGTACCCCATATTTTTTTATATCAAAAACTGTTAGAATAAAATTAAAAAAATTAAACATAACTTACTTCAGTACACTCCCTAGCTGTCTTTATAAGTAAAAAGTAGTAACTAAACCTTTTGTTACCATATAAAATAAAAGACGGTCAATGGATCCTCTTTATATATATTTATTATAAAATCCTATAGCATATGAAACAGAAAATCAAGACAGATTTTACTAAATATATAGGATGATCCTTAAATCTCGATTATACGAGTACAATAATCTACTTTGCAAATTACCTTGCAATCGGTGCACTCGCTTGGGAGCAACGTGGTCATAGTCATAGGTAGGTACACTTGTAACACTCCATTCCACTTCACGGGACTTCTGAATAAAATAGTCTTTTAATAATAGTAATAAAATGAAAATATAAAAGAGTTGATTTGTATACATATATTACACAACAAAAAAATATATTCACTACATTCTATAAAAGCTCTTGATATTTTCTAATACGTTAAAGAGACTTAAAATATTTCAATGTACTCAATACATTGTCAAGTATTTTATGTGGTACAATAATGCTAAATAAAGATACACTACAGCACTGATCCTGCAAAGACCTTTGACACTGTTAGGTCTTTCATATTGAGAAATATAGCGCACTCGTCTATTCAAACAACTGTTGTGAAATATACAATATTTTGCATAAGCTGTTGTTTGCAGTTTATAATGAAGTAGGGACTTAGTTATTATTATAATATATCGTTGTATAATTTGATATTATATTACGTCTGAATACTTCATTCTTATAGCATACTAGCGACTCACCCTCGTTTCGCTCGTGTTCGTCCCTAGATTGTTTCCCCATACAAACTTTCATCCTCATTTTCACCCACTTAACCAACTTGACCTGCAATATAAGGTATCAGCATGCCAAATTTTACTAAATTAGGTGCATAAGTTGTTGGGTACTAAGCTGTATAAGTTACTATAGATTTTTAACTATCCCACGGGAATTATTTAATTTTCCGGGATGAAAAGTATCTAAGATATTGACCGGGGATATAAGGTACCACCATGCAAAATTTCATTTAAATCGGTCTTATATTTTCGGAGATTAGTCCGTACAAACAGACAAACAGATAGAGAAACAAAAAAATTGAAGAGAAAAACATTTCTGACATTCCCCTGACTCGGTTTGTAGCATTTTTTTCTATGTACAGACAGACATTCGACCTCTACAGTTTTATAATAGTATATTATAATTCTAATCAAATCAAAGAACTGTAAATAAAATTTGACAACACATAGCGGTTTCTAGCGATGCATATTTTTGGGGTTATTTCAACGAATACGGCGCCCATTGATTTTTATTAAGTAAAAGATATTTATAATTAAGCAATTTGTTATATAATAATTAATTAATTTTGCAATTTGTTTAAAAGTTATGTTGCTTTAATATTTATAGTTGAAGCGTGGTTTTATTCTAACCAGTTTCGTTTATTCCCCCATTTCATCAAAATCCGCCCAGTGGTTATTCCGTGATGCGGTCACAGACAGACAAATGAAAATTGTAAAACCTGTAAAATTGGTCTTTGTATCGATAATTGTGGCTACTTCAATAAGATTTTCTAAAAACTATTTAATGTAAAGATTCGAATCAGTTACAATTTTAGTATATAAATAGATTATTCAATAAGAAATATGCGTATTTTTTTTAATTTTTATACAATCGTTATATAATTGTAAAAAATATAGCCAGCTCTAAAAAAACTGAAATTTTGTATAAAAAATTTAATATCGTACCGACACGGATACTTTAAATGCCCGCGATTTCGCGCGCTCAGCGTGACGTCACAGTATGATTAACACAGAAAAATGACAACTCAATTTGTAGCGACAAAATCGCTAATTGCTCTGTTATGATAATACTTTGACGTCATATTCCGTCTGACCAATACTTTGAATTTACCACCTATATTTGTACTTTTTAATAATTATTTTCTTATCAAAGAGAAATAGGCTTAATTCAAAAGCAACAAGGATTATAAAAAATAAAATTAACCTTTATTTTAATCATAGTAGTAGGTACATTCCCTATTGAACGACACATAACTACATTTTTGTTTTTGCCTTTCTAATAATCACACAGGTTCAATTTATTTGTAAGTTCATATTTTTGATAAAGACCTCTTGCCTCAACGTTAATGAAAGCGGACCTTTCATATTAATTAGTCTTTTCTTTGTTAATTAATCTGACCACAGCAAATGCAAGGTTTTCTGATTTATTATTATGTTATGTTATTATGTTGTTTGGACATTAACACACAGCACCACCTAGTTCCATGGTAAGCTACGAGGCTTGTGTTATGGATACCAGATAGTTGATACACTATACATATTTAAACTTTAAATACATACATATTACAAATATAAACACCCATGACCAGAATACAAACATTCGTGCTCATCACACAATGACTCCCCAGCGGGACTGGAACCCGCGACCGCTGGCACAGCAAGTAGGGTCACTACACACTGAGCCAAACGTGTAGTTGATTTGCAAATTCGTTGAGTGCTAAATGATATTCATCTTTCTTGTAGGTATGTACTGTTCTGAAAATTAATTTCTAATGTCACGGGTTCGGAAACAATTCGTGTCGGAAATGAAGTCGTGTCGGATGGAAATTAGCATGCGCGTACTCTGTATTCGAAACAGGAAATATGCGGCCATCCTTATAATTATAATACTCGTACACAATAATTGAAGCCAGATTTTAACAGTTAATAATAGGTATAATGTCAATCAATACTTATTAACTTTAAATAATCTATAATATAAAAATGAATCGCTGAATGTGTTGGTAAGCGCAAATCTAGAGAGCAGCTGAACCGATTTCGCTCATTCTTTTTTTAGAATATTCCTTGAAGTACGAGGATGGTTCTTACGGAGAGAAAAATTTAAAAAATTGCCTGAAAAAGTCTAAAAACAACACTTTTTTATACTCCCATAC